AGCTCGGAGCGTGGAGCGAAAGCTTGCGCTGGGAACCTCCTGGGTTCGATCCCCGCCGCCCCCGCCCGTTTCGATCTGGATGAGTTTCGTACCGGCACGCGTTCGTGTGATCACTACTGCGTGATGCACGTTAAAAATCCCAGGTTAGCGGTTGTACCGCACTGGCTAAATTTCTCATCTACAGCTAAGAGACCGATTACCCGTTGAGGCGCATCTCCATCAAGGCTGTATAAACATAAAGAGCAAGCCAATTTTTTTACATTCTCTTTCTGACATGGTCCGTTGGCTTAAGCGGTGGAGATGCGTTCCCACGGCTTCTAGCGGATCCAAGCTGATCCGCTAGAAGAACCACTGGCTCTGCATTTCACCGACCATGAAGCAGTAATAGTGAAGTCTAAACGTAATCCGGAACTTAGCACTACCTATGAGCAATAAAAAGAGATCAGCACCATCAGCTCTACCTATGAACAAAATCAGTATCATCAGCACCACCAGAGCGTCGCCCCAATCAACATCATTCACAACGTGGAGATGCGGTCACATTTTGGACGCGGTAAGCACACCAGTCGGAGACGCGTTCCAGGCACCATAGCTGAACGGAAACACGGCGTCCAGAAGCAGGCCTTATTGGATATCTGTGGGTGCAGTCCCCACCATAAACTTGCGTAGAATGGCGACCTCGGTGTCGGTGCCGAAGTTCGCCAGTGCGGCTAATGCTTGGACGTCCGAGAAATTCACGCAGGGATTCTCCGGCCTTGTTGTTTCCTCATCTGAAATCGAAGTTGTTGCAGGTCTCGTTGATCGGCTGTAAAACTTTTGCCTCGAGGACTCTGACGGTCTCGCTGTACACGTCGGGGGACGCTTGTTGAACTAGCTGACCTTCTCCCACCGGTGAGGTCGCTTGAAACCGGTCCGACGGGAGCTAGTAGAAGAGTCATGGACGCGCTGACCTTCGACCCCCAAGCAGTTGAGAAGCTTGGCCTGGCGTCATTCGGTGGAAAATGCTTGGGCGCGCCTCTGCTGAGTGCAAGTCGTCTGCTTCTTGAGCAGGAGTTGCTGTGACGTCAGAACGACACCGAGCTCTGATTAGCTTTGATTAAAAATAATAATAATAATAATAATAATAATAAATCTTTTTTTCGGGGTTTAAACATCATGATTAACTATCCAGCTCGCCTGCGCATTTACTGTCTTTGCATTACTGATACGCATCACAGACACGGCGAACACGCGTGTGCGTTAAGTACGCGGGAATTCTCTATGAACTCTCCTGTCACTGGGACGGCAGCAGAACGCGGTCGCAGCGCATTCGCCCTTCGCAGGCCGATATAAAGGCAAGCACCCGGCACCCTTGAACTCGGGTGTCACGGGAACCGATATCGCGCGCAAAAATCACATACAAAGAAAAAAAAAAAGAAAAAAATGCGGGAACGAGTTAGGAATTTGCATGTTATGAGAAGGGATACCCCGGATAGTGCGGATGCTGCAGATTGGCGTGTCGCGGTGCGATAAGCACGAGAGAACCCACGGCGAGCACGCTTGTCGCGTACCGATACCGCAAATCACGCAGTTAATTGTGATAAAACCACGGGATGTGTGCTTTCTCGGGGGCGGGCGTGAGTAAAAGACTTTACGGTATCCGCGATTTAATCCGCGTGTGTGTTGTATTTCGGATACACGCACTCATGCTCAGTGCCATCCTGAAGAAAAAGAAAGGTAAATGACGAACAAAATGCATCGAGGCATCGTTTCGTTGTTAGTCAGAGTTCTGATGGGTACTCTGACAAAGCGGCCTTGTGCCACTTTCGGAGATCAGGCCTACACTCACGGCCACATCGGTATGGTGGTTTCATAGCATTAGGGACTTGTATAGCAAACCGTTGACAGTGTTCTGCACAACCGGAGTCTTGGAAGCATGCCCCGCGGTCACGGTATCACTTGGCGCGCACTTAAAAGCATGCTTCAAAAAGGCTCCGGTGCACTTTTAGCAAACCGTTAACGCGCGGTTCGCGTTAACGGTTTCCTAAAAGTTCCTACTGGTTCAGAATTACCTAAACAAAGACAACACGGTAAACCACTGTGGCCAATAAAAGAGAGTACTCCAATAAATATAGCCTTACAAATTAAAAAAAAAAAAAAAAACTTGTTCGGTTAGGTTTGGCGCAAAATGCTCTTGAGAGCAGGATGACGCAGCGAAAGTGGATTGGCGCACAATTGCGCAATTGGCGCAGCGCTTTCACCCTTGTATATTTTTTTACATAAATATGAAAAAGAAATATGACCCGGACCGTCATTGCACGATCTAACGTGGAAATGCCCTATTACGACCTTCTTTCTAAAGGTGCACTTGATTAAAAATAGAAAGTGTTGGCAACTTTTTTTTTATATTATATAGCCGTTCGGGCGTATCCCGCGGGTATTCGCGTCTCCAGCAAGTTTCTCGCCCTCCCGCGGAGGAAACGGGAAGCGCACTAGTGAGGGTACTCTTCTGCTAAGCGGACACGGCGGAACTGCTGGCAATCATGGGTCGCGAAATGTCATTTCCTAGTGCAAACAACACTCTTCACTGGCCCAATGTAGTGCTGCAGCCGGCATGGGATTGTACCTTACTGGAGAGTTTTAGTATTGCGCATAGAAAGAAAGACAGGCGGTGCGCGTCTGCGTTAGAGTTGCGTCCTCCGCGCCACGTCGTCGCCATGCTCCAGTCCAAGACCGCAATTTTGGACTCCGCGCACGCGCAGTGTGGAATACGCAACGCTAACGCAAACACACAGTGCTTGCGTCCGCTCGTATACGCAATACTAAAACTCACTGCTCTTTCACCGGTTTCCAGTGTTAACGAAACGTGCTGCAGTGAGCTGACGTGCAAGCGGGCAGGCGTTCCTTTGAACTGGAGAGCCTGAGATTGGCAAAACGTCGGCCCGTAAAAAATAAAGAAATTAAATATTATAAAAAAAATTGGTCATTAAAAAAAATGGACATTTGGCCCGGAAGGATTGGAGAAGACTTTGGAAGTTTTGCCGATTGTCGAAAGTCGCGACTTTAAAAGCACCATAATGACGCTTTACCCAGAATTAATGTACTTTTACATGGATTTCTCAGATTAGCTAAAATATTTTAATTCATTTTAGGCTATTCTTATTTTATATCTTGTGAATTCCAAATTCGCACCAGTGATGATAATTTTTAAACTTTTGATCGCCATACGTTTTCGCGCGTTTGAAATTAGATCATAGGCAACAAATTATATTATAGCATGAAAAACTACGTACAAAAATATCTTAATTGTATTAGTATTATTATTAATACAAATTCCGGCATTGTAAGCCCTCGGTAAAGGCCATGATCACGAAAATACACAATTTAACCAATAGCCTTAACAAAAATTTCTCATTGTTTTCTTTTTAGCATATGAAAAACTCTAACATCGTTATCAAGAAAGGCAAACAGTCAAATACTGGACTTTAATATTAAGCCCTGTGCGTCACACGTTGCTTCAAGAAACACATGCGCACTTCTGCTGTCTTGACTCGGATTGCGTCTTTGAGTGAGAATAGCGTTTCTTAATTCATACATTTCTTGAACATATTCTAAAGTCATCACACATGACGATAATTTGTAACATTTGGATTGATTCTGTTATTCTAGTGTTGGGAATAATGTTAAAGCATCTAATCAATTAAATACGTCAAGACACATTAAAAGGCTCGCAGCTCATTATTTCACGTGACAATTATCTGAGCGAGAAAAGGCAGCAAGAACACACAAATATCACCACTGATTCCTTCAACAAATACAATATTCTATGTTAACTCTAAGGTGCATGAAATACCCTGTCTTTAAAGTGATACTGAACTCTCCAAATATTTTCAAGTGCCTCGATCGGACACGGATGTCACAAAATACAGTCTCACGAACAATTTCTTTAGCTCGATAATTACGCTGCGAGACATATCTTCAGTTATGGAAGAATCGAAAATTAACGCCTATGCCGATAACTTAAATCCAAAATAGAGGTTCGTTTCGGACTCATTCCGGAATTAAAACGTGCCTCCTGGCGTAAATATTACGCTAAACACCGTTTTTGTTTTCAGGATAAAGAGGTGTCATGCGCTCATAACACCCTAGCTTCCTCGTATAAGCGGGAATAATTTGTGTTACTCAATGAAGCCAGCACACTAGGCAGGGTCAGCGACTGGTATATCGGCACGCATCTCGGGCCCTCACTACAGCCGCCATTTTGAAAAACGAGTGGCGGCGCCTATAGTAAATTGGAGTCGCGAATATAGTTTGTGGGGTAGTTATAACTTATAACGTACATCTAGGTAATAGTGGGGAGCGTTATAAAGGTGTTTTCGGGGAATAATGTGCTTAAAGAAAACAAAGCAAAAAAAAAAAAAAAAGAAACACGCAAGGATTGAGGCAAGTAGAAAAAGGACAAAGCGCACTCTCAACTCAAGTTTATTTAAAGTATTTATAGCTATCAACAAACATTGAGATTGAGGCACAGCCCGCATTTTAGATATTCGTATTCAATTGTTGACAAGTCTAGGGACGTGTCACTAAAGCATGTTTTTTTTTCTTCTCTCCTAAACTCAAACGTCTCATGAAGTTCCCTTCACGCCTTATCTTTATAACGTGCAAAAGCTTAGTGTCACTGAAGGCAGGGGTGTATGAGCAAGTGCCACAATGAATGGCAAGGTGTCCCGATGGAGGTCACCTATAGCATATCTATATGGCAGCCCACACGGCGTTGAAATCTGATACCTCTGTGGCGCAATAATTTAATCTGCTGTTTAGTGCCGGCGGGTGAACGATGTGGTATCGAGAGCTCGCGCTGGCGACTCAGCGTTTTTTGAAGAGCTGGCACGGAGTGGTCGCTCTTCAAAAAAGATTATCTCACGGTGACCTGAGGGTGATCCCGATACCCTCATCCATATCTCAGGGACGGCCACAATGGAGCAACATTACCAACAGTATTGGCAGCCTATTACCAACTAGGTTTTTTCTTGCGCTTCAACACGAATGAAGCGAATCGAGGCGGGGTTCATATATTAGATAACCGAAGTTGGCATATTGCTTACCAGCTAGCAATTCGAGTGACGCAGACGGGCTCGATAAATGGCAATGAAACAAAGAGTTATTAAAACGTTAAGTGCACCGAAGATAGGATTATCTTCTTGAAGTCCTGACTAAGTTAATGTCATAACAGCGCCGGCGTATTTAAGGACCAGTAAGATGCAGGGCAAACAGACTCTTCTCCGAGCCCTGAAGCTAAACCCATCTGGAGCAGCCATGCGTGTGATCGTCTTCGCCCTCCTGCTAACTCCATCGTTGGCCTCGTGGGAAAAGGGTAAGCAACATCTGGTACCACCAGAATCACGGGGATAGCAGCAGAGTCCGAAGAGAGTCTCAACAGAGGGTGGAAATGGGTAACATAAAGAGGGCTTCTGAAACGAAGCTTCGAAACATAAAGTGGAATACTTAAAGGGAAGATGGGGCACTTCTACATTTGAGAAAAAACGCTTGAATTGCGTTCATTTGGCCTTTAGATTAACATATATCAAAATTGTATTTCAATGCGACGCGCCGGAGAGCCATACGAGCAATTTCAAAATGGGACTGAAGTCCCGCCTCCCTAGCCTTGGGCAGCCAAAAGAGCCGTCAATGACGTCACGGACAGCGACTGTCTTTCGCGTTTTTCTCGCGTTTAACAATACTTGCGCAGGAAATGGTTTGGGTATTCGGGTTCACGGGGTAAAAATACACTAGAATTCACTTCTAACTCATTTTTTTCCAAGCTCCGTAGCTTCCCTTTAAGCCAGCGAAACAGGATACCGCCGTTTTAAAGTCGAGAATATTGCCAGTGCCTTTATGAAACATAAAAAAAAATATATTAAAAAACAGCTGAGAGTGAAAGAAAAAAAATTTCAGATCTGGAATGAAAATATTAAGTCCCGCGGGTAAACTGCATTTACATTTTATCGCTTTTGCTCCTGAGTATAATTTGGCTTACAAGCGTATAAAAGTTTTAAGTGTTTTTTTGTTTTTGTTTTTCTTAACTTGCGACTAACTCAATCAAAAGTTATAAGTGATTTTTTGAAAATTTCAATGTTAAAATGGCGGCCGACGGAGTTTTCGAACACATGGGGTTCTATGGCACCAGAAACCGAAGACGGGCAGAAATGGGCTCCATTTTCCCATTGAATTTTTTTAGAAAATCACTTTAACTTTTGATTAAGTTATCAGATCGGGCTGAAACTTTGACATCTGGTTGTGACCTCTAGCGCTACCTTTGGACCGAGAGTGAGCGTTCGGCGATGCCTAGTTTATTTTGGCGGTAAAAAAGACCGTGTAAATTTTCTCTTATGACACCCTGTAGAGTGATATGGTCGGTGGCCCGTCTTCAAGTTAGTTGCTACCCAATCAAGTTGTGCCGAGAAATGCTCCACCGCCATGATTTTGTTACTTATGTAGTTAATTATTTATTCTAGGTACCATTCAACACCCGAAGGCACTTCAGAAAGGGGGTCCGTAATGCAATCCATCTGAAACCTATATACAGATATAAAACAAAGTTTAAGCATGAAATGTAACACATCCTTAGAAAAAAACAAAAACAAAAAATAATCGTTATACAATGCTACAAAAAAATTCAATATTTTTAGTCAACAAGATGCAATCAGTCTTTAATAATTACAAAAAATAAAGAGTTAGCTTGAATGAGATTACATGAGATTTGTAAGTGAGCAGTCCCACTGAGGAGTAGTGAGGTGAAAGAAGTAGTATGGGAAAATGCTTAAGTACTGAAGGGTATGGTCTACCGTGCGTGATATAAAATGAGGAGACTCAAACATAGTTCAGTGTGTATGCCCGTTTTCTTATTGAAAAAAGAAACATATGAAACAGGTTTAGGCGAAAACCGAACCTATGACATTTTTTAGGTTTCCATCCAAGTGTGTCTTTAAGGATACCCGAGCTTATGGAAAAAATCGTAGTTGCCAATGGCCACAGTTGAGCATAGATACTCCAAAAAGTATTCGGGAATACAAATACTGAGATACCTGTGTTTTAATGCCCAAAATACAGATACTGAGCTACATATGTTTTCTTATGCAACGGGATATCCATGAGATACTCCCGCATAAACGGCGAAAAAGTGACCCGGAATACAGATACAGATACTTATAGAAACCCATTTGTTCCCGACCGGTGCTACTTGGGGAGGGTCTAGTTCATGGCGAATGTGAATGGTATTTTTTGCTTGTGCTCCTTTTCCTGTGTCATTTTATGCTGTTTTCCTTACCTCTAACTCTTCATTTATCCTTAATTCCGCTAAAAAAAAATATACACATCACCCCCAGTTCAACCACATAGTTTCAGAACGGTAAAGAATGCATGCCACGCTTGATAAAAGGTGTAGGCCCGAAATGAACCCTGTTTTTCCGTGAGGGCGCATCTCAAACTGTTTCAGCCATAGTGTGGGGAGAGTGGACAACAGAGCCGTACTTTTTCTCCACTCAACTCCTTTACAGGGTCGTTGTTCTCTCTGCTAAATTGGAAAGAATGGAGGGATTTTTGAGAGAAGCTAATTTTGTTATTCTTGCAAGTAACCTTCTTTAAACCACAGTTGATGTTTGTTTGTTTTAATATCGGTGACTAATATGCAGTATGTTATAGAGCGGGTTTATATTATAAATTACGTAAAAAATGAAAGACGTTTACAACTCCCTGTAATGCCGAATTAGAACGCAGCTCTTGAGGAGGAGGAGGGTACGGAGAGGAGGGTATGCCCCTCCTCCTCCCCCCTATGGTCATGCCAATATTGTCTGCAGAATCATAGAAACAATATATATATATATGAAGCAATCATGTTTCGGCAAATGCTTGAGGCGTGCCCGCATATGATTCTCTCATCATGTCGGCAGCGAACACCACGTGTCTTTTGTACGACGTACGATCAGAGCGAGGCTTTAGGTGCTAAGTAACCCCTTCCGTGGTTGAGACCTCAGCGAGTTCCAAGTTCGTAAAATTTTGCATCAACAACACGACGACATCGTGTGTGACCTACATGATATCACGAAATGCGACCAGGCGACAGGCTACTCGCAGTGTATAGTCGCATTTCCTGGATGAACGTCAGTCGCAATACTTGGCGACGCGCTGAGCGTGGATGTGCCTCTCCCCTCGCCGCAGACTGCGGCCGGCCGGCCGTTCAGCCGTCCCTCGACTCCGGGGACCGACTCATCGGCGGACGAGCGGCCCTTCCCGGGAGCTGGCCCTGGCAGGCGTTTCTTCCCATCCTGCCCACAGATCACTGCGGTGGATCCCTGATCGACGACCAGCATGTGATCACCGCCGCTCACTGCGCAGTGTGAGATTACGGTCCAACCTCGGTCGCTCAAAGCGGCCAAAAAGTCGCAGTTGACATCGAATACGGACTATATACGGTCAACGACAGGGTGAGGACGACAGGGAGGATGCTTCAGTCGTCCCGCCTCCAGCACGGGCTTCCTCTATTTCCGAGGTTAACGCTTCGGCGACTCGTGCCCCTCCAGGGCGGGCACGCAGCCGAAGCAGGGCGGACGGCATGGAGCGCGTGCTGCTGGCCGGACCGTCGAAAGACACGCCCTGTGGTTCTCAATCTGTCAACGACTATATACGCCATTTTTGGAAATTGTAATTGAGTATTACGCTGCAGCCATTACGTTGCGAATTGGTTTCAGATGACCTGTTCAAGTTATATGATACGAATGATTTACACTGGCACTACAAATGATTGACCGGGAAAGTTCCCAGATAAGGGGTTTCGTAAGGCGCAACAATAAAAACAACGAAACAAAACAGCTCAAAGTTTTTTGAGCATACGGTATCTTATTTTTGTCCCTTCCAAACACTCAAACGTATCTGAACGTCCGAATGAACATGAAGCATCTATAGTTCAACTAGCCATTTTGTTTTAAACGTAAAAAAAAAGAAAGACATGTCTTTACGCAGTATTCCAGCAGCGTGGAACATGACGGTGCATCTCGGCTCACACCTGCGAACAGTGAAAGAAGACTCGGAAATGCACATCGGCGTTCAAGATATCTGCGTCCACCCCGGATTTTTTAATGGCGAGAGAACGGTAAGTTCCTGACCATGTGCCTGAAAAACGCGGTGCTTCGGTGCCTGTTTAAATGAACGTATGAGTCGCGAGATGATAGAAATCTGGACAGTTCACACGACTGCGAAGCATGTACATTTTGCGGGCGCTCCTCGACCAAAAGTTGAAAAAAAAAAAAAACTAACATATCCTTTAGTGGTTACTGTATCGCTCATCTTCGCCCATTTTCTAGCTATGCAATACTAGAAAGACCTCCACGAAAAAAGAAAAAAAGAAATAAATAATATCATAGTCGTTCTTTTTGTTTTTCGCATGTAGTATGCTATCATCATTTTTGCCGATTGACTAAATTAAATTGCGTAGTGGTATACGTATATAAAGTCGCGAAACGGATGTATACATCCCTTTCGTGGCTGGATTGCAACGATATCGGGACAAACCCTTTCCGATATCGCTGTGCGTAATAAATCGGCTGCACGAGCAAACAACAGCGATGTCGGGAAGGACTTTTGATATTCACAGTCACAGAACGGCGGTAAAAATACAAAAAGTAGGTTTTGATCTGGAACGACCTCTGACACGCCCTGCGTGACGGCTCATACTGCAGTCCTTGTCTTACAAGTAGATCTCTGACATTATCCAGCTTGAGGCACATTTCTGGCCTTTTTGAGTGGTGGACTCTCTGAGCGGGCCGTAGGAGTGGGAGCACTGATGACCGGTCATTGCTGTTTGCACCAAAAGGGTTTGTTCCCGTAAATGTTCTTACCGTGTTGCATTGTGGAATTCACGAAATGGAAAGTGTAAGAAGCGGTTTTTGTTTAATCTTGGGGGAAAAAAAATAATTTTCTGGGCATTTAATTGAATGATTGAATAAATTGACATTATGCGAAGCAGCTTATAATTCGAGCCGATATTTATTTTAACGTGTGCTAGAGCACTCTTGATATTTCAAAAAGTCAGGGTCCAAGGGGAGGAGGGTTTGTGGGTCTTTCGTTGTCCAGCGTTTATCTTGGTGATTGGTGTCCCGCTGGCATGTGGGCTCGCGTGCATCTAGTAGAGTGCAACTTCCTAATTTTGATCGCTTCAGCCTTCTACATACAACCAAACCACTGCTGTTGAAAAGTGCCTGGATCGTATAGGCACCGAAGAAAAGCAATGCAGATGTTTATCGAGCGTGTAGTTCGGAGCGAGACAGCTAGCCGTTGGATCAAGTTAGTAGTGTGCGAAGCATCGACGGAGCACACGACTATTGAACGAAATGGCCAACACTAATCGCTGCTCGCCTTCTCTTGACACAGGGTCGCACAACAGATATTGCGATCATCAAGCTGCATCACAAGGTAAACTTTACCGACGCTATTCGTCCGATCTGCTTGCCAGAAAACGGCCAGAAAGTGTCATCGGGAACCGAGATGTACGTTACTGGCTGGGGTTACAGAAAAAGTAAGTAAATGTCAACGGACAATAAACATAGAACGCTGAACATGTAAACTCGCCGGCAGCGTCAAATGACATCAAAACTCTTCGACGAACTGAAAAAAAAACGAAAAAAAAAAAAAAAAAACGATGCTTGTGTGCGGCATTATTTCCCTCCTAGCACGCGCACAATAATAATTTCGAAATAAAAGAATGAGCATTTTTTTGCCTGGGTGCTTATGTACTTAAGCCCAAATTACTGGTTTAGTGATCAACTAGATGACGCGTGAGAGCATCGGCCTGCTCCAAAGTAACATCCACCATTCGACTAGCACCAGCGACTAGCATACACCGTTTTTTTTAGCCACCTCTGCCGTAATATACGCTCAATAATATATTGCGAGCATAATATTGCAAAGTGTATGTTAACGCCAAAAGAAAAGATTATCACGGCTATGAAGATAATTTAATGGGTTTTTTATTTACATTTTTTTGTCGTGCAAAACTTAGTTGCAAAGAGACTATTCCAATGTTTAAAAAAAATATCAAACCACCGTGCGAAAAAAAAAAAAAAGAAACAAGTCCAGCGTCGCCAGATTATCGCCAGCTCTGCCACGTTTAATCCCAAGATGACAGTGCTCAGGAACTATTTAATGCAATTGTGTGTATCACTGAAAAAAACGGACGTGTGATTTGGTGACCCGATTTGTCACCTGACACTCCAGCGTCCAGCGAGTCTCTGATATGTAGCGTGATCTTCATATAAAATTTTTTTTAGAGAGATATTTTAGGAATAATTGGAAATATTCACGTGCGGATACTCTAGGGGTATGGTGTGGTTGAAATTGGTTAGAACAGAAATGCACGAGGCGTATCTTTATTGGTGCAGTTGCATGTAAAAAAAAAAAAAAGATATGTCAAATTACTTGCAAGTTTTGTACATAAGGTGAGTTGGTCGACTCTTGTCAGCTTCGAAAATACAAGACAGAACAATTAACGATCAAGCAGTAAAATCACCAATCGCTTTAAACAGTAGGCTCGATGCCCAGAACAATTTATCTCATTTCGAAAATTAATATCTGGGCTGTAGCGGTGCTTGACTTCAGAAGGCCACCATGTCCCGCAACGATTTCTGTTTCCTTCGTAAGAATAGCTTTCCAACGTCGCTGGAGCAAGAATTAGACACCGGGGTCTTGCAAACATATTTCCCTGATTGTACATGGCAAAAACGTTTGAATCTTGCACCCTCCGTTTTTAAACTAGGTGCCTTGGGTCTAAGGCGTTCCCCAGAGCACCCTCAGGGGTTCCCCAGAGCATTTAAATTTACTCGAACGTTCCTTTTGCGTGATCAGTCGGCCTTCAAGTTTATGCACAGCTTTAGCCGACCTGAGCCACACATTGACGCATAAGCAGTCTATAGTAAGTGCAAGATTGTTTAAAATGTATGTAGGCTTCTGCCCTGCTTCATATTGCATTAGTGCCAAGACCTGGAATGGTTCCTCGGCTGCGTTCAAGACAAATAAGAGTTCCTCGCACATGGCAATTCGAAGAACCCTTGTCTTAGAGAAGTGAGAGAAATTATTTAATGCTGTAAACTGCGGGAACGCATTAAATAGTCAATGCTTACACTGCGTTGACAATATGAGTTTTTGAACTAAACCTCAACGGAGTCGTCTTGCTTCTTGAAAATTATTCCGGAGTAAGCTAACACTATCCATTAAGAGAGTGCTTTTTTTTTTTGTATTTTAGGTTATCGTGCAGATGCCCCCAATGAACTGCATCAGCTCATGATTAAGGCGATCTCCAATGAAGGTTGTAGCAAAGATTTTGACGACAAAATCAACGCTGGTGTGTTTTGCGCATCCCATGACCATGGGTCCATCTGTGGGGTAAGTTGAATGTTACCCTTACTGCCGAGCGTCGCCTTGCACGGCCACCGTGGTCTGTATGAGCGCCTTAGTTCGATCCTGGTCTTTTTATATTTTCTTTTTAAGACTGTCTAGAGCGGCAAAATGCGAAGTCTGTTTCTGTTTAACGCTGAAAGCAGGATTGTCAAGTTTATCGATTAACGTATATATTAATTGATTAGTGAATTATTTGTAGACCAATTTATTAAAAGATCATTTGATCAAACGTAGACCCTAATATGAGGTTTGCATGGGAATTATCTTCGTGGTTATCTTAACATAATTCACCTCATCAGAGGTAATACTCCTGCTCCTCCGACAATGCATGATTTCAAAGTACAGGAAGGTGCGCTATTTAATCCTTATATTTGAATGTAGTAAATATTTATTTGTATATTACGCGTCTTCTGAACTTTTCACTCGCTTCGTGTTTAAATGTTTGCTTAGTAGGTGCCAACTTGACGTCAAAAAAATAAATGTGCGTGCAGTTCTTTCTTCTCTCATTTTTCTTCCGCCGTAAGTTCTTGACATTTGAATGTGCATCAAACAAAGCTACAGGATGAAATAAAAGACTTCATTAAAACGTATTGCTCCCGCACCACTAAAAGGCTATCCGAATCCTGACGATGGTGTTCCCCAGATATGTAACTCTACATTGATAATTTGGCAATGCTTTAACAACTTTTAAAGCCTCCTCATTAGACCGAATACCGAATAATTGATCGTCTTAAGCCCCTCGACTAAGCGGTTTAAACATTAGACGGATAATTGTTCTAGTCAAACGTAATATTTAACATTATTTCTTCATTCGCACGCAGCGCTAGCAGGTCATATTTGTAATGTGGCTCCGTCTAATCTTTGAAGATGGGCTATCTCGGCGCACCAGGGTAGTGTCGTTTAATTACAGGACTGATAGGCTTCACGTTACTTTCTCGTTTTGGCTCTTGCGATATCTGACCCCCCTCAGGATGGTACTTTCAAAACAATTGTTTGCCCATAGTATGCGCGAAGGAGGTAATTTCGACGTCACGTGTATTTTATGTCATGGGCAAACGAATGAAAATAACGATGTTTGTTAAACAGAAAGTGAGAGAGCAAACGAGTCGGTGAAGAATAGGCATACCACAACCCCGATACCTCTTGTGTGCCGCCTTTTGCCTGCCTGCAGTCTCGAGGTTCTGTTACGTCTGATGTTTGCAGTTGCTTGTCTCTCGCAGTGACATTGTGAAGTCAAACTCGCGTTACGCACATTGAATAAATCTATAACAAGAGACACGCCGTAGAGTCGTTTCGATTTGTTTCTAAAATGTGTAAGAGAGCGCCGAATGCTGCTTCCGTTTCAGGGCGACAGTGGCAGCCCCGCCGTGCAGTACGCGAACGGGTGCTGGACGCTGCATGGCCTTGTCTCCGGAGGACCCTACATGTGCTCCGATAGGCACTGGCCGCAATATTTCACCCAGGTCTCTAACTACGTCAAGGACTTCATCGTGCCCTATGTGGAGCAGGGAATCTGCCCTCGGCCTGGCGGCAACTAATAAAAGCTGACTTTAGTTTCGATTTGTGTCGCCTTTTTTGTTTGTTTCATATGCTCAAGATAGTGTAGCATCCTGCTTAGACTTTGCCCCCGTTGGCTTGGAGTCTCACCTCGCGTTCTTTACTGCTTTACCTTGACGCGTCGACTTTTATAACTACCTCTCGACATGTAAATAAGGAGGTGACGGAGATGGTTTGGAAACAAATTGACATAGTTTATGTGAACGCCGCTTTCTTTCGACGGTGACGCAAGGGCCAAATTTATGGGGGGGGGGGGGGGGGTTTAAAATGGGGTCACACTGCTCATTCATCATACAAAAAACAGTCCGCAATATCCGCGGTTCGAATGCCGCCTGCCAAGTTTCTCGGTGGACTCGTTGGCATGCGGCATTCGAAACACGGATCTCGCTGTGACTCGCGTTCGAATCTGTATGCAGACTGCATTTTGTATACACTCCGTGCGAAGCGACTGGCGCGCTGCCGCGCGGCCGGTACCGAAGGTGGGCAGTGAGCACCCCAGAGAAAACGAAACCGAAACCACGCCGCGTACGTTGGTACGCGTTGAAGTCGGAATGGTGCTGTTGCGCTGGGTTCACAGCATGAAGTGCTGCCTGTGCTGCGTCATTAAGTGCTTCAATAGTTATGCGTCGTATCTCGTGGAGACAAAGTTTCACAGTTTTTCACCTCGCCGATGTTTTGTGGGACAGCGGCAACGGTGGAGCCGTGCCGTACGACGCGAGAAATTTGGTGTCCCGATCATGTCTGCCACTGTGCCGGCACGGCTGACATATTCTACACTGCCGCTTTGCGCTCTGCGTTTGTTTTCGTACCAGTAACGCCTACATGTGTCAGCGCCGATGGGACGAACTGAAATGCCATCCCACACTCGCGGGTATGCAGTGCCAATTTCGTTGGAGGAATGCCCTCCAAAGAAGTTTCGTCCCCATCGTACGTGTCGATGATATTTCCGGACAAATATGGCACGCAATCTGTACTTCATGAAGAAAGATTTGAACGGTAATAAAGTGACAAATATAAATCTAAAGAAAACAACCATGAAACTCGGAATCACTTGAGAATCGGCGTTTGAGTATGGAAGTATATGTGGTGTGCTTTTTTTCTTGATCAGCCTCCTTTTGGATGTGGAAACACTGACACCCCGAGTTCTGTAGACAACAATTTTTTTTTCTCGGCTTTAGAGCCACCTATCGCAAAGTGGTTCGAACTGGAAGTACCGTCCACTGGTCCCTTCCTACCTGTACAGTGTGCACCTCCCACGATGAGTGGTATTTTCTGACAGCCTTTGACGGTCAAAGCCAGTTCCCATTTAGTTACGCCGCCCAAACTAAATTTCCACCTGGTTTCGCTATGCCAACTATTTTTTGTTATAATAAGTGTTGTGCCAAGTGACGGTCATGTCAAAGTACCTGTGGGCCGAAAATCAGCACCTCGCACAACAGGTTATTGCACAACAGCTGATCGCAAAAGCCCTTGGCGGCCAAACCGTGTGTTGGCCGACAACTTCGTTTTCTCGGCTTTGGAACCACCTTTCGTAAAGTTGTTTCAATATGAAGTACAGTCCACTAGTCCCTTCCTACCTCTAAAGTCTCCACCTCCCCCGACCAGTGGTATTCTCTTGACAGCCTTTTTATGGTCAAAACCGGTTCCCATTGAGTTACGCCGCCCAAAACAAATTTTCACCTGGTTTCCCCATGCCACCTTTTTTTTTGTAGAATAAGTGCTGCGTCATGTTACTGTCAAGTCCAAGCACCTGTGTGCCCAAATCTGCACTTTGCACAGCCCGCTATAACACAACATTTTGGGTCCAATATTGGATATACCGTACAGCTTTATTTCTTCATTCGTTAGAAACAACTTTCACACCTGCTGTCTTAATGAAACTTGGCACACTTCGTGCAGAAACTTAGTGGACATCTCACTCGCCTCCAAATATCATCGTTCCAGCAGTCCTACGTTTACAGCGACGAGCGAAATAAATTTCCCACTCAAAGCAATTATGGTGGCGGCCGTCTTGCTTTTCGGAAAATTGCTCCAACTCCTTTTTTGGCCGCAACTAGAGAAATTCCCCCGAATAACGACTCAAACTCAATATATAAGAAGAGGAGAACAGCTAAATGCCCTTCTTAGGCCTGCCCCGGCATTCATGCAACGTCACCCTCAACGTATCGGCTCAAAAACCAAAAGTTTCGTCCGTGCGCGCTTCCGCTGCCGCAGCTTGGCATGCGAAAAAGCGCCGCAGGCTGCTGAACGGGCCTCACGGTCGAACGCCAGCTCCTCCGCTAGCGGCGCTGCGCGCGAGTGTATAGACCAGGGGTGGCCAAACCGCGGCTCTTTGCTGGTCCAAGTGCGGCTCGCGGATCCCTCATAAGTGGAACCCCCCCCCCCGGCCCCTTTCCGCGTTTCCCCTAGAAAAAAAAGAAGGGATTTCAGGCAGAATAAAGTACGGCTCGCGGTTTGGCAGCCTTGTACCCCCATACGTACCGTCGTACAGCCTTGTGCACTCATACGTACAGTCAGACTCGAACAAAATTTGAACCTGCCCCCCCCCCCCCCCCCCCCCGTCCCCCCCCGCGGCTCTCAGAAGCTTCCTGGTTTCGTTTGCGGCTCTTAGGCCGGGTCAGCCTGGCCACCCGTGGTATAGACCGTTTTATCGTGGGTAGCGCCATCTTAAGATTGAAAGAAAAAAATGGGAAAGGGCTACCGGCGCTTTCCCCCTCGCTGGGTCGGTAAAAAGAGTGAAAGTCCCGATGCTTCGTCGGTGTTGGGTGTATGGAGTGCCCGAAATTCGGTCGCGCTTTCTTCTGTTTTAAACTCGCAAACTTAATTAGAGCCATGGGTTTCGATGGTGACAGTCCCCCGGTCATCGGGACACGATCGCTCGGTGATAGGCTGCACGGATAACGACAGAAAGCGTCGAATACTGTCAGAGGATCTATGTAGCTTGCATGGCATCCGGCAAGGCGAGTGCGGCCGCATCGTTTTTATGCTCCATCACTTTCCGCATGACTGGAACTGATGAACCATTTATCAATTTTTTCTTGCAATTGGCTACGTTGCAATCTATTGCAGCTTAGCCGTTTTTAGTAATCAACAAGCGATACACGACACGGGAACCTCAATTAACTTTGGTAAACACACGGAGCTGCTACCGATCGTTTTGCTGCGCTGCTTTTATCTAGCGTGTCCGTGTTCTTATATTTCCTTGTGTATGAACGACGAAGACGTCTTAGATGTACTTATATCCTACCGCAGAAAGCCTCAAAGCAGCCACGAATTATTTTACTGTTTGATGCAATATTTTGAGTACTAACCTCTAATTTCTATCGCTGGCACGTTAGCTGCCGCTGTTCCCCCGTCTCAGCACTGGCGGATGCCATGACTCGAAGAAAGAAACGTGCGCACTGGTGTCGAAAACGCAGATCGCAACACACGAGTCGTACCCTACAGCAACTATTCAGCGCTTCAAAGCGCCCAATCAACGGAAACAACCCACCAGCGGCACTCCAAAGACCGCTTTTGCCGGTTCTCTGGTATCGCGCAAGAGATCGCGATTCAGGAAAACCGATAGAACTAATTGGTACTGGTAAAAGCGAGCGAGTTGAACATAAAGAGCACAGGATAACCACGTTGTCCTGTGCTTTTTTTTCTGTATTCTATTCTTTCGATTTTAAGTACGATAGAACTAACTTTTCAACAATTTCCAGCCTCACCCGGCAGCGGAAATGAGCCATCAACTAAGTGTTGTATATGATAAAATCGAGTCAATGTCACCACTGCAACATATCAATATTAAGATGAATTCAATTACAAAATTTTACAAGCTGAAACAGCAATTATCACGAGAAAACTCGCACGCTTCCTGCGAGTGTACCGCATGTTCATCGGCGGTGCAGCGTTCGGTGCGCGCTGCATTCACAAAAGGTTCCGAGCACAGTCGAGATCATGGCGTTGAGGAAACGTCTTTTCAGTTTACGGACGCAATCCACTGCCGCCGGAGACCGGGGTCATATGGAAAGCGACGGAGCTTAAAGACATTACAGCCGCACTCGCCTTGTCGGATTCCTTGCAAGCTACTTTGGTCCTCGGGCAGTATTCGACGCTTTCTGTCGTTATTCGTGCACCCTATAACCGAGCAATGGTGTCCCGATGACCCCGCGGGACTGTCGACATCGAAGCCCGTGGCTCTAATTAAAAAAAAGCTGTGCAACGATTTTAACGTTGCAAGAATTTGCCTCTTCCACTTTTGACACTGTTAATCTTGTTACAGAGGACAGAAAACACATTTCCGACCTTCGAAATATTGCGATTCCGCCGGGTAATCGCGACACAAAAGTTAGAATATTTTCCGACCTGCAGCCGCGAGCGGAGGCCGTGAGAACCACACGGCACGACGTCAATGGGTGATTTGTAAAAAGATAGCAAGTTGTGCAATACCCGCTCGATAAAAGGTAATTTTCCTATAAATCTTGTCGTTCCAACATAAATATTAATGCGCCAAAAACTTGGTATCATCAACAAAACTTTTATTATACGGAGTTTTAGTGGCGCCACCTACACTCTTAGAAAAAGGGGTATCCATAGTCCTCCCCAACGTTACAAAAACACTCAGTTGGGAAACTCGCCGTCGAAACTTGGGCCGCTGGCGTCCACCGAGACCGAGCTAAATGCGACAACAGCGCCACTCTTTATCGTTTGTCTGTACTGTGGTCACCTTGAGCTTTTTGAAAGCCTGTTTTTGCGTAAAAACAAACAGAGAAGACTCTTTTTGTATGAAATTTATTGGAGTTTAGTACAAAAAGAGGGACGCGTTGTGTTTTTATAATCTTTAGTTTGCAGGGTTTTGCGGCACAATTAATATTGTTTTTATACAACCATGCCTCAGCGGTCCTTTCAGGTAGCGCGTCCCGACCTAGGTGCATTTTAACTTGGCTAGGTCGACGCGGCGCGTCCGCCGGGGAGACGGGGCTGGCTACCTTGTAACCTCTTCCGCTGTATCTGTTCTT